ACATGATTTATTCCTCTCTCAGGATTTGTCAAAAACACTGCTGATGATCAGAAGCTCAAAACCGACTGGAGCAAAGGTTCTGCTCATGTGGACGTGGCATCAGTGAGCTTTGATCAACGGTCATGAGAGTTTTATTAATGATCTCAGCCCATTGTTCCTTCAGTGGGCTGGTTTCACTCATTAGGCAAATGTCCTGTTTATAAGAAACCTGCAGTCAGCTGAGACTGAAGACGTCACCTGATGATGACGAAACGTTTCTCCCACTGAAAACATCCTGATGAACAGAATCAACTTTTTTTGCATGATTGAGCGTGCATCAAGACAACTAGAGAAACTATCAAAACCTCTAAATATTTTTGTTTTCATTTCTTATTCTTACACTTTATATTTTTTTTAATTTATACAGCTGAATCCTTTGAGATGCTCTGCTAAACCTTTACTGCAGCCACTGTCAGACACTTGTTTGTATCCTTGGGTAAGATACTGAACCTCACATTTGCTCTCTGAGCAAACTGCATCCCTGGATATGAATGACTGTGAATGTTAGATAGAAAGCACTTAGGTGTGCAAATGAGGGAATGTGTTGTATAAAGAGTGCTCAGATAGAGTAGAAAGGCACTATATAAGAACCATTTACCATGGATTGGTTCTTATATACAGAGTCATCAGTATATATATGTTGGGTAGAGCCAACACAGTCACCAATGAACTGAATTATCTGGGATTAACCACATTTTCTGGAAAGCTGAGTTTCATATGCCACACCCAGGCCTGACCTACTGTCAGATCTGCTGAATTAAGAAATCAGCAGATCTGACAGAAGTAGGTCACTGACATCTGTAAGTCTGGAAAGAGTTATAAAACCATTGTAAGGCTTTAGTAAACCACATGGAGAAAACCTGGAACAGTGATGAGCCTTTCCACAAGTGGCCAGACTAACAAAATCAGTCCAAGGCCGCGTCAAGAAATCACACAAGAAGTCCTAAAAAAGCCCTGATCAACATCTACAGAACTGCAGGCCTCACTTGTCTTAGTTCAGCTCAGAGGAAAATATTTCAGCCCAAAGGACAAAGACGACCAGAAAAGCTTACAAAGGTTCATCTTAGATTTGCCAAAGAAAAAAAGACTTCAGGGGAAATATTCTGTGAAACTGAACTTTTTGGAGTCTTATTACATCTGGTATAAAATCACACAGTATTTCATAAAAAGAGCATTCTGCCAACAGTGGTAGTGTGATGGTCTGGGGCTGGAGCGCTAGCTGCAACTGATGGAGTGGTCTCGAGATGTCAAAGCATCTCAGGCTGCTCGTGCATGTTTCATTTAATCATGTTATCTCTGTCTAATATTAAAATGTGTTTGATGATATGAAACATGGCAGTGTGACAAACATGCAAACAGAAAAGTTCAGGAAAGGGGCAAAGACTTTTTCACAGAACTGTAGCCATGTACACCTCAGACTCCACCTCTTTCTACCAGCGCTCACACCAATAACCACGGGTGACCCAGGTCCACTGA